TCCGATTAATTTTCACAATTTTTTGTTTCTAAAAGATCACGGACACCTTTCATATATACAGGGTGACATCGAAGAAGATGGACAAATTTCAATGACGTATTCTACTCTTCGTAAGGATGAAAAAAGTGTCATATAAACATAGGTCTGGAAACTTTCTTTCCGAGATATAAATATTTTTTTGTTTATAATTGAATATTATAGGAATTGTTGAAGCTTAGTTAACATGTACTTATGTTGTTAATCAATCTCGACACCAATACCAGTTTTTACGCAACGTGTGGGCTGGAATTATTAAAGAGCTGCTTACTGGACCAGTTTTTCTTCCATTTACATTCAACGGTAGAAATTATACATAACTTTTGGAAACTGACTTTCTACACTATTACAAAATGTTCCATTAGCAATACACACTCGAATGTAGTTTATGATGGAGCTCTGGCCCATTTTAGTCAAACTAAAGAAAGCTAAAGAATACCTTAATAACAGTTGCATCAATCGGTGAATTGGTAGAGGAGGACCAATAGTCTGGCTTGCCCCTGATTTAACTCCTTTAGATTTTTATTTGTGCGGACATCTTAAGACTAAAACTTTAGTCTATAATAATAATATTATTGATAGTCTGGAAACCCTCAAAAACCGGATTATTGTCGGATGTGACAAAATTCGGAATACACCAGGAATTTTTTAACGTCTTCGACATTTTCTGCAACGTCAATGTGAAGCGTATATTATTGCAGAAAGAAATCATTTCCAGCAATTTCCTTAAATAAGTCTTAAATATTCCTACAATACTCAATCATAAACAAAAAAGGATTTATATCTTGGAAAGGAAGAGTTTCCGGATCTATGTTTATATGACCATTTTTCATTTTTAGGAAGAATAGAATATGGTACTGAAGTTTAACCTTTTTCGGTATCATCTTATATGTATAAGGATATTTTGATACAAAAATTGATTTTTTCTAATATTTCATCCATCATTACACATTCAAGCGGTAATATTATCGAAAATAGAATAGAAGAAAATAAATGGAAATCATCAAGTAGTTGTAACGTTGCATCTCCCTTTAAGTACAAAGCATGTGTATTTGTAATTCGAGTAACGATAATTCTTCCGCGAAAGTGTCTTTTTTGTATAAAATCCCTTTTTATATAACATCTTACATCTCGTATCGAGAAAAAAGCAGCATTTTGTAAGCAAGTGCACACAATTCGCGCGACGTCCATTATTCGCAAGAATCTGTGCTCGTCAGTGGGTCAATAATTTATAGATATATCTCGCGCGTAATCGCTATTGAAGCGGCGCTAGAGATAATAATCCGTTTATCGCGTTATCAAGGGCTACTGGAGGTGACAAAGATTACGATTGCGTATGCGACGATCGTGGCGGCGCGACAGCCGGCGACATGCGCGTCTTTGAAACTGATAATCTATCTCTCACCTCCACTCGCGTTACGTAAGAAAATGATCGGAGGCTTATAATACAGCTGCTCCCCGGCGAAAAGAGCACTTTGAGCGAGTGTGTGTGCGAAACCGGTAAGTGGGCTTCTTTTCGCCGGACCGTTCCGCGCTGCGGATCTTTTCGGACCGAACGCCCAGCGTGCCGGCGAAATCCGCCCTTATCAGGACGCGATAGAAGTCGCAATTAGATCACCGATACGTGACGACGATCGCCGATATGCGACTTCTTTTCCTTCGCGCGTGAAAAAGCGCGGTGCGAGTGATTATCGATCCTTCGCCGGACTTCGCCGTAACAATCGCCGACGCTCGTCGGAAAAATGGGACTCCTCGGGGGGGTAAGGAGGGGATTCGGGAGTGATAATAATTATTCCATACGTACGCGTGCGAAACAATCCGTTCGATCGTTCCGCGAAGGGCGGCGACGCGTGTTTCGGCCGCGGCCGCGAGTGATAATGATTGATAACGCGATCGCGCGCGTGCGAGAGAGAGAGAGAGAGAGAGAGATGCGTCGAGCTCTCTTACGCGCTCTCTCGATTGTTCTCGAATTCAGCGGGAGTGTCAGATAAACCGCACAGAGTTACATCGATCGACATATGTTTGCAATTAGCTCGATTCGTTCGACGAGCGGCTGGATTCAGCTCGATCCCGAGCAGAATAATTTATGGAAAGGTTATTCGCCGATTTTCCTCGTTTTACCCTCTCTCGTGATCCAACAGGTATCTGGTATTCGTCGTACGTGCGGAAAGCGTAAAAAGAAACATCGCAAGAGTTTCCAGGCAAATAAATGTATTTTCGCGTCTGGTTGCTTCTCGATGTGGTTTCACGTTTCGGCAATAGGGGGAGGGGGGAGTTACTTTTATCTTCGCATTTTATCTCGACGCGCAAAGGCAACGTTTATCTATATCGCGCGTTGTTTATGCCGCGAGTTATTTATATTCGTTTAGGCGTCTCCTTACGTTTTTCGTCGTAGGCTTTGTGTGGACAAGTGCAGTTGCGCGCGGAAAGAAGCGAACCGCCTCGAGCGCGATCTGTTGTCTCGACGGCCATTTTGTCGATTTAATTAATCTCTAACGATTAGCCCGACCCGCTAGTCGCTCACTTCTCGTCGCTCCGTGGCGTCCGAGGAAGATCGAGAGACGCGCGTCGTCACGCATGTACGTAACGCGGCGATCGGTCGCAGCCCAGCCGAGCGAGTGAATCTCATACGTCTTGGGCTTTATTGATTTCTTCGTCCTACGTGCCTCTGCGAATTGCTCTGTCGCGTGTACTTTGATTGCTAGGGAAAATGCGACGAGGCGATGCAGCGAGAAACGCCGCGAAAATCTCTCGCGCAGATCGCGAGATCAACGCGCGACATCCGCGATATTCCCAGCGAGATTGCTTAGAAGCGCCCCTTGCGATCTCGATCGGCGATCGATCTGTGCTTTGCTACCCAATCGGCCGTTCTTACATCAGCATTACAATACGCAAGGCGGGTCTGCTACGCGTTAGCGGGTTATCGATTTTCTTTCGTCTCATATTAGGGAGCGAAGCGACGAATGGGTGGGAGGGAGTCATCTTCGAGCGGTGGCTGATATTTCTACGCAGGATGGGCTCCTTGGGCGTGAAAGAGATGAAAATTTTGTGGTGCTCAGCACAGCGTCGCTTTTAACCCTTTGTGTGGCAGTACTAAGTATACTCATTCAGCACAAATGTCGAAAACATTCTAGAGATGTCCCGGAGATGTCAGATATCTCTGTGATGTTCTCCAGGACGTATTTTGGACATTTGTGCCGTGCTTACCACTTTCTTTTTCTTTCTCGTGACGTTTATAGTTTACTGTTTGCAGTTCCGTGAAAATAAGTATGACCTCACATTTGTCTGATATATTAATACTTACTTTATGTGTTCCCCATGATTTTTACATTCAGTTCAATATTGTTCATCTTTAATTATTTATAAACAAATAAAGATGGAAAAAGGTAATTGAAAAAAATTAATTTCTTGGAAAGTATTTAAGATTGGGGGCTGAAAATTTTTACCGAATATTCTTCGCACGTTGAAATATAATGTATATTCTTTCCAGAATTTTTTACACGCTAGATTTCTTTTATAAATAAATTACTTGAATGAATTTTATAAACCTGACTGTTTAAACAAATTAATTTCTTGGAAAGTATTTAAGATTAGAGGCTAAACAATTTTACCGAATATTCTTCGCACGTCGAAATATAAAGTATATTTTTCTCACGATTTTTTGCACGCCAGATTCCTTCTATAAATAAATTAATTGAATGAATTTTGTAAATCTGGCTGTTTAAAAGAACATAATTTTTTTGAAAATATTGAAGATTAGAGGCTGAAACTCTCACCAAATATTCTTCGCACGTCGAAATATAATATATATTTTTTCCAGAATTTTTTGCACGCTAGATTTCTTTTAATAATTTCTATAAACAAATTATTTGAATGAATTTTGTAAATCTGACATGGGATTCGTAATTGACGATCTAAGAAAAAGACTGTTTTACAAGAGTGATTTTTCCATAAAATGTGCATCAAATTATTCATTCATAGTTTCATAACTTTGCATTTACACGAAACAATGTTTCCGCACAAATTTTCGCAGCAATCACGTATATACGTGATGAAGTTGTGATCTACGTGATGAAAAATCCTCATATAATCGCTGAGACAAATTATCAAAATTGCTTTCCTTAATTTTTTCTGTGGCAGTAATAACTATATTTACTGCCTCTTTTTCTTCCATTTCTACAATATATTGTTTACAGTTTCATGAAAATAAGTTTTTATACTTGATTGTTTATTTTTAATTATTTATAAACAAATAAAATTTTAAAAAGTGGTTAGAAAAAGTTTGATTTCCTGAAAAGTACTTATGACTAGAAATTTAAAATTTCCATTTTTTTTTAATTTAAAAAATTTTAATTAAAAAGAACTGGATATTCCTCATATGTCAAAATATAATATATATTTTTCTCAGAAGTTTTAGCATGCTAGATTTTTTTATAAACAGATTATTTAAATGAATTTTGTAAATGTGGCATAAAATTTGTAATTAACGATCTGAGAAACCTTTATATCGTGTATTCGATTTACATTTATTCAGATTTGCACTAACTTACCCTTGTATGACGGCCATATTGGATTTGTCATTTTGGATTTTTGAAATCTGACTTTAGATTTATAATCAGCGACCCAAGAGACACAGAAATCCATCAGGTAGAAAAAGTGCGCTACACAAAGGGTTAAACCGTGAACTTGACACGACGGACGTCATGTGGTTCGGTAACTCATGGAAAATTCCCTTTGCAGATAGCAGAATGTAGCTTGGTTGTTTCTCTGAAAAGAGCAAGATGATGTCGGTCGAGCTTATCAGACTGAACTGAATGATAAATCGCGCGCTATAGTCTCTCCTTTAGGACCCGTCGCATTCGAAACTCCCGCCAACGGTAGAGCATCCCTTTTCAGATAGAGGGGTTGCTCTACGGTTGCCGCGCAGCGACACCGCGCGACCTTGACACAGTGCTTGGTTTCAGGGTCTAGATCTCGCGACGTAGGTCGTTGTGTTTCGCGATAGTGACCCGCGAGAGAGCTCGAGTGGCCGCGTATATCGAAGAGCGACCAAGAGGCAAGAGCCAGACCGAAAGAGAGGGGGGACAGACGAAGAAAACTGAGGTGGAGGAACCGAGAGCGCGAGAGAAAGAGAGGGAGAGAGAGATCGGAAAATGACCCCCACTCAACACGACGAGGAGATAGAGGGGCGCTCGTATAAAGACTATGTCTACAGCCCTGTACCAGTAAGTTCCTCTTCAGCGGTGTTTGATGCCAACACCCCCGGCAAAGAATCCGTGCAGCTGAACGCGGTACATGGTAAAGAGTTGCGCAGGACCTCGTCTCACGTCGTTGACACGCGCTACCCTGAAGACATGACGGAAAAGGGTTCCACGTTTGTTCAGTTCCTGGCCGCTGCGGCAGGTGAGTCTTGGCCCCCTTTGTACCTTCCCGACGAAGGGCCGAGTTTCTTTGAGCGGCCTCCTCGTCGGCTGCTGACCGAAAGTGCGTTGATTGAAACTTGCCATACCGAAAACAACAGAAACGTGGTCGTTCTTAAAAAGCCCTGAATTTTCGAAAATTGTATTTCGAATTTCGAATCTCGTTGCTAAGGCGCGCGCGCATTCTCGATGGAGCGATAGTCCGGCAGGCGTGTGGATGAGTTAACCTCTTTGGCACGGCACTCGTTCGCCGCGTAGAATTGACTTGACAGCTTAGCGCAAAAGCAACGCCAGATGCTTCCACATATATATGTTTTGTGATAAAGTATCACCAATGTGTATAATTTGCTTTTAATTAATAGAAAAGGAAACAATTTTGAAAGTTCGGTTAAAAAATTACAGGTCGCACGTCGATATAATTATGATAGACATAAACATAAACCATAAGTAAACGTAGAAAGCAAAAAGTGATTAGATTTAAAGAAGCTTGGTATGATAAATTTCGAAATACAACAGTTCACAACAGTTGTAACATATGTTATGGTTATGTATTTGGCGACCGTCAATAATCGTACCGGAGAGGTCCACGTTGTTTGTCCGAAGACGTCGCGTATTAATTTAGCTTCGCCTGTGACATGTGACATGCGGCGACTCCTGTTTGCGAAGAATACATTGCCGCGACGGGAGATTTGCAGATGCGTTAGGGAGAAAAACACCCTCGGGCCATATGGCTAGCCCGATCGATTGGCTCGCCATGCTCTAGAGTTCCTTTCTAGTGTTCCTTGCATCTGAGTGTTCGATCCCTCTGCACTTCCGAAATAAACTCCGTCACAGAAGAGAGAGAGAGAGAGAAAGAGAGGGAGGAAGGGGGGAAGATCGAGATGTCACTTACGGGGTGGTATTGCAGTTTTCGATCTCTCTGAACGTTTCTTTTTCCTTTTCCCTCTTTCTTTTCATTAGGCATCAAGAGAGAGAGAGAGGGGGGAAGGGGGGGAGGGAGAGAGAGAGAGAGAGAGAGAGAGCTCTCCTCTGGGAAACGAAATTATATTGTGCACTCATCAAAGCCTCGTACGCGGCACGGCGTTTTTAAGCATACGGATTGAATGATGGGACAATAGAGGTCGCACGATTTGCTGCTTAACGGTGCAGTTACTCCTTTGATGCGAGTGATATTAATTGAAGACATTGAGTAGGCACAATGCGCGCCCCTCGGCTATCACCATGTGCATCGTCGGCACACCATGGGCGCATCCTGCACATGCGTCTTCCGACGCAGCTTCCTTCCACTTCGATCGTCGACCCGCGAAATTCTCGTGAGAATTCGTCAACCCCTTAGCTGTCTTCGATGACGGAAATATCCGAAAGAAATGCCATCGTGAGACTCGTTACTTTCATGTCATTCTCTAATCCCGCGTCCGTAATTTCGTAATTTTTCGTGATTCTGTTATTTTGCTTAACAGCTAACAATTATTTTTCTTAACAACTGTTATTTTGCTTAACAGCCAAGAGGTTAAAATTCCTCTCCCTCTTTCTCTCTCTCTCTCTCTCTCTTTTCGTCAGAAATTTTGTTATAGATATCTACGAGTATGTTTGTTCATGCTACTTTTTTTCCTTTATTCAAATTTTGTCTTGATCCTATCCTTCGGCGGGATTTATTCCAGGACGCCCGATAAGCTTTGCACTCTGTCTCTTTCTGTCTCTTTCAGAAATACAAGGTGTCCAGGATCTTTCGGAAATGAAAAATTGTGAAGATTAATCAGATCTAACTGAGAAGAAGTTATTTTGCAAAAATCGCACTAAATAAATAAAAAATAAATAAAATAGTTAGTAAATTATTAACGATTGAAAATCACCACATCTAAAGGCTCTTTTAATTGTAACTTGAAAATTTGCCTATTTATGTGCAAAATGGTAAAGTACTGTTTTGTTCGGAATGACTTAATCTACAATTATATGACGGCTATTTGCCTAGCGATGGATATAAGTATATTGAACTTTGAATCTTGAATCTTGAACCTGTCGCTAGCCACAATAGCCGTCACGTAATTATAGGTTAGGTTATCCTGAACAAAAAAGTCTTTTACCATTTTACAAATAAATACGTAAATTTTCAAGTTAACAATTAAAAGAGCTTCCAGATGTGGTCATTTTCAATCATTAATAACTTAACACCTATTGCGATTTTTGCAAAATCATACTTGATTTTTCTTCTCAGCTTGATCCGGTTAGTCTTCACAATTTTTTGTTTCCAAAAGATCTTGGACACCCTATATATTTCATAATATTCAAAGTTCACGATATGTAATCATATCGAATTGTTTGCCGAGAAATCAGCGTAATTGCGCGCAAATGTTTATTATTTATCGATCGGCGTAAGTTCTCTCGTGTCCGCGGATGGGAGAGGATTTTTCAAATCCAATTTCTCGACGATGATTGCTCATATTAAATGCAATCATCCGACAGAGAGCGCAATTTTGGTATTATACGCCCCTTATGTGTGCGGAAACGTCAACGACGATAACGACAATATTGCGGCGAGCGAGCGGCCATACTCGCGTGTAAATGTTATTATAATAATACCGAGGCCTGATGCATTCCCCGGCGTGCGCGTAACGCTCGTTATTCAATTCCCATTTTCTCGTCGAACGCGACACATTCACGTCCGACAAGTTATGCGTCTATTCTGTCATTGTTTCGTCACTTTCAAGGCAACTGCTTCTTATCGCTCGATAAGCTCGCAGCGAGAGATTTTAATTTCGTCGTTTCTCGAGCGACTTTTCTCTGGAATCCAAGTCTAATCACAACTAACATCGCAGATACGATCGGAGATTCAGCAACCGGAGGAACGATCTATTCGCGAATTTGCATGTGCGTATGAGAGAGAGAGAGAGAGAGAGAGAGAGAGAGAGAGAGAGAGAGAGAGAGAGAGAGAGAGAGAGAGAGAGAGAGAGAGAGAGTGAGAAAGACGGAAGGAGAAAGGGAGGGGGACAGATACGTCAGGTCGCGCGCGTGACGAAAAAAGGCAGAATAATTATTCGGTTCGGTGATTCCCCGATCGGCCGAGCCGAGATTAGCGCGAACTCAGCACACCAGCGTCGAGAACTGGGAAGAACGGAGGACGAGGCCGCGTGTGCGCGAAGGATCGCGATTCATATTCGCGATCCTTCGCGCGCGCGGGCGATGGGAATATTAAACGCTCGCATCCGGTGCTCAAACCAAATTCAATCTTGACCGACGGAGAGATCGCAATCAGCAGAAACTATTAGATCTTCCGGTCAATTTTGACCATGAATGGATTGCTTCTAAAGATAAAGTTTATTTCTATCGTGGAATCCGTGGAATTTGTTGCTAAGAAGACGGGGAAAACGTGCAGCAAGCAGAGGAAAATATTTTGATTGAAATAATTTCAATAATAAATAATGAAGAATCCATTATTTCATATTGTCAGAATTAATTGAATCACCTAATGTCGTAATAGATGTAGTAAAAAGTTGCAGCAAGCAAAAAAGTGGAAAATATTTTGATTGAAATAATTTCAATAATTAATAATGAACAATCCATTCATATATCGTTAACCTTCAGAATTAATTGAAACACTTAATGTTGTAGTAAGTGTAGTAAAAGGTTGCAGCAAGCGATGGAAAATATTTCGATTGAAATAATTTAAATAATAATGAACAATCCATGTCGTCAACTTTCAGAATTAATCGAAACACCTAATATAATAGGTGTAAAAGATTGCAATAAGCGGTGGAAAATATTTCAATTGAAATAATTTCAATAGTACATAATGAACAATTCATTCACGTATCGACAACCTTCAGAATTAATCAAAACATATAATGTTGTAATAAGTATAAAAGGTTGCAGCAAGGTTGCAGCAATTAAAATAATAAGTAATAAACAATCCACTTATCTCGTCGAGTTTCAATATTAACCGTAACATCTAATGCTTCTTCGTTACCGACATAACTGGCAGTCATCGGAAACGAAGCCTAATGCGATGATTTGAGGGTGCTTCACTCTTTCTTTTTCTCCTTCTCATGCTCTACCGGAAGCCCGATTCGTCAATGAGACGAATGCTGCGCGGTTCTTCGATTATTCGCTAATGATCACGGCCGACTGGGAAACGGGAGAAACGCGGTTTCCGATGGAAATCCGAAGCGTTCAACGTCGAGATCCTTCCAAGATCGACGGTAAGAAGCGAAAGGAGCTTTTCGTCTCCTCTTCACGCGTCGTTAGATCGTGTTCTCGAGGATATTTCTCCTCCTGCCGCGCTTGAACCTCCTCGTTTCGCGGGGAATTACGCTTAATTCTTCGGATCGCCGCGTGCGACGACACTCTTGGAAATTGAAATTCGGATAGATCCGCTTAGTTTCGCAATTGCGAAGAATTTAAACGCGCAGAGGAAAGAGGAGAAGAGAGAGCGAGAGAGAGAGAGAGAGGGGGGGGAGAAAGAGCGAGCGAGTATCCTTGAACGGAGAGAGAACGTTTTCTTGTTTCGCTTGTCATTCGAATGATTATTTATTTATACGGGAATCGACGAGCGATCCTGCTCGCGCTCGTAGTAAACACGCGAGTCGACGACCAATATTTACAGCATCGTCCACACTTGTTTCCACGCGATGCCAATCTTCGCGGGCGCGACAAAAGGATACTCCTACTGCCATGCGATATACGTATCATTCGCTATGATATATTCGCCGCGCCGCGATATTGTATTACAATCTGTCAACGCGGTAAATGAGTGTCTGCTCACGCGAAGCGTAACATATCCATCTGCTGGGCTCTTTATTCTATTCTCGGTGTTCTCGCGGTTTCGACGTCTTCGTGTCTCGAAGAATATTTCGAATAAAAATTTCAATAGTCGGACCAAAGGTTGCGAATATATCTCTTTCTTATTTTTTCTTCAGTTAGATCGCCTTCCTGTTTGTGTTTCATCGATGACGAGCCAAGCAAGGAGATACCTTAATCGCAACATTT